ATGGCTAATTTTAAACAGAAGTCAAAGAAAAATGGTTTTGCCGCAGAAAACGGCAACGGTGTTGAAGAACAGATATGGTTTGACACCACTCAAATGTTTTCTCCTCTGATAATACTAAATTGAACAAACAGAAATCGACAGAAAGTATTCTTCTCTTTTTGATGAAAAATGTACAGCGAGAAATATGCATAACTAGAATGTCACCTTGTCGACGGCAAACCTCCACCAGCGCTAAACAATCCGAAACGGATTCTGACTTCTTCCGCACTACAACATGATGCATTCTCATTTGACCATTTCACAACTCCAATAGTTTGTTACTAAATGTCATGGTAATTAGTCATGTACTTTAAATTATTCACTAATCTACTACCCTGTAGCCAGCATTTTAGTATCCGATTCACAAGATAACATAAATCTATTTGTCTCTTCATGTGAGCGAGGACTTTCAATCAGTCTAATTACATCTGTGAAAAAGACAGATAAGGGAAAAACATTGATTATTTTTTTCCAGCTAGTAATAACGTGAAGCAGTCATACATTTAAACATGAAAATAAGAGGATGTCTGTTCCCCACAGCCACTCTACGATTTTTTTTAATCACCCACTTGGTCATTTGCATTTGGCCTAAATGCGAATGACTTCGTATTTGAAAATACGATAGCGTCCATCTTACTGATCAGTAAGCACAATTTCTCCCAACAAAAATTCACACTGTTGATGACAAACAACGACTCGTTCCCTCCCAGTTGCTGTGATGTGTGATGGATAATCCATTACCTTGACTGAGGTCTGGCTATTGCCAAGGCAACAAATTCATATACAGTATCGCTGTTTAAATCTGTCCAGACTCTAAGCAAATGAGGTATGCTTTTATGATGTCAATATTACAGTGTCAAGTCATTTTCTTTGCAACCTGCTGAGGTCTCCAGAAAATTGTCAGGACGTGTCAGCATTCTTTTTCCTCTCACAAAGTCCCGTCAGTGGGAACAAACACCGCCAGGTGCTTTGAATCAGGATCATTTGGACCCCATTTGCTTGCTGTAAATGGCATCAGTGCCATTGTGCTTGTGACCATGACCACATATTGGCCATTGAAATCAAGAATAGTATGAATGAATGACAAAAGGAGGGGTCCCAAAACAGAACCAGGTGGAGTACCATATGACAGAGCGGGAGAGTGGCACCAACACAAACAGTTCTGTCTTCCAAATAGTATCAAAATCACTAGACCTAATGCCCAATGCCCACCTCGTGCTAGAAATAAGCCAAAAGAATCGGGTATTCTACACGCACGCACGCACGCACACACACACACACACACACACACACACACACACACACACACACACACACACACAAACAAACACACACGTTGAATTAGCCTTTATGATTTTCAATTGCAGGAAGCAAATCAAGTCTATGAAATCATATAAAGCAGGTCCCAAAAGTCAAAATTAAAATTTACTCTAACTAAAATAACATTGTTGACAGATTGAATTTGACAGTTTAAGTACGAGTGCATTTTTTGTTTCTAATTAGTAGCAATGAACTTTTTGTATGATAAATGTTTTCTTGCATGCATTTTTCTATTAGTTGTATCCACTATTGCTGATGAAATGATGCCAATTTCCATCTTCGGGATTAATAAAGTGGTGGCAGAGTGATCGACTGGTTAGCATGTTCGCCTCACACGTCATGGGTTTTGTTTCCAGGCCCTACCCTTCCTGTGTAGAATTTGGATGCTCTCCCCATGCGTGCGTGGGTTTTCTGCGGGTACTCCGGTTTCCTCCCATATTCCAAAAACATGCACCATAGGTTAATTAAACACTCCAAATTGACCCGAAGTGTGATTGCGAACGCAAATGGTTGTTTGTCTATATGTGCCCTGCGATGGCCTGGCAACCAGTTCAGGGTGTACCCCGCCTACTGCCTGATGACAGCTGAGATAGCCCCTCCCCCCCCCCCGACCTTTGAGAGGTTAAGCGGATAAGAAAATGGATGGAATATTATTCTCGGTTTGTCTTAAGCGTGTGTTGGATTTCTTGTCCTTTTGTGACAAGCGATTTATACAATATTTGTCTTTGCCTTTTTCAAGCATTTTTGGTTTGTCTTGTTTTATCCTCGTTCTTTGTTACCAGCATCTTTCATTGTACTTTGTCGGTCTTGTGTTTTTGTAAACTTATCCTCGTTCTTTGTTACCAGCATCTTTCATTGTGCTTTGTCGGACTTGTGTTTTTGTAAATAAACATTTTGTCAACTCTTATCTGTGTCTACTCTTTTGGAATCTCATTCTGTTGCAGAGTGCTCCGGAACTCCTGACAGGTGACTTGTGATCACCCCGACCAACTTTCCATCATCCATTCCTGCAGGAATTCCTTGCAGCTCCCTATCAACGCAATTTGCGCTCTTCGATCTCTTGTATGGACTCCAGTAAATCACTTTCTGCTTCCATCATGTCAAAGACTGTGCGCTTCTCACGTGCTGAAATTTAAGGGGAATGAGAGGAGCTGCTTCTATTTGTCATGAAGCTAGTCGGCTGGATGACTTTGCCAGGGACAGGGATGTCTGGGCCTCCATGCTTCAGCTGTTGCCCCTCTGATCGTTGAAGACTGATGGATGGATAAACCCTGATGTAGCAAAAACTGTGTACCGTTCTAAACGGAAGCCTGCAACTATAGTGCGTGGCAGTTAGAAACTGCAACGGATATCTTCTGTCCATGAAATTGGTTATGCAAGCATGCACATGCGCACACACAGGCAGGTATACAGCCACACTAAAAATAATAATAGAGCTTTTGAGTGGAATAGCAGTCCATGCTGCACTGGTTGATGCGAACAATGATTTTATCAGGAAAAATTATTGACGGAGAAATACCAAGAGAATGAGACTGACTGTTTTTAATGCTATTTTGTACAAAAGGAGTTTTAGTTAAATGGAACTGTGGCATCATTTTTGTTTGGTGGTTGACCTTTAAATCATAATTTCGTGACCAATTAGAATTTTAATGTAATCGTGTTCCGCCAGATGGAAGGTCTGTTATGTGACATGTTCTCCCCTTTCTACCGACTCTTTACAAGACCATTACTGTTTGCTGGTAGGGACAGCAAACAAGGAGTTGCATCAAGGTTTCTCCCAAGGAAAATATATATTGAATCATTCCACCTTCTCTTTTCAGCTATTGTACAATTGCCGTTGGGAGAGCACAATGGATATGCTTCGTTTTCATTTTGTCAGACACAATAAGTCTAATGAAAGCCTACCTCATACAAAGAGTGAAAACTGAAGAGTATAAAATCAAATTGCTGTCATGCAACCAGTGGATGCAGTGGAAATCGCAAACAGTCATGACTTGTCATCCCTTCGAACCAATTTTTTGAGCACAATTTAAGGAGCCCAACCACGAGACTCAAACCTCCAGGAATTATTGACACTTTCCCGGACGATCAGGCCCTTTGCACAGTGCATGATCTGCGTTCAGGGAGGCAGCCCTGTAGGTAGATAGAGAAAATAATGTCCACCCACAGGCAATTCTTGGGTCTGTCGGGATTCCAAGCAGAAATTAATTGGGAGCATTCACCCCTCTCTAATGCTTGTCGTCATGTTAATAGTTCACCCCCCAAATGTGAACAGTAAACATTTTTATTTCGCATTAACACACACTAGCACATTCACTAATGGTGAGGACTTCAGTAAGTTAAGACAATCTAGAAAATACAAGACCATTGAAGTGCCAGTTACCTTCAACATACTCATACTCATTTTCCTTATTTTGTAACATTTGCAAGTAAATATAAAACGAATGCATTTTCAAAACGCGATCGCCATTATGCCGTAGTGTGCCACTAGATGGCATCAACCGCAGGCAACTGGCTTGTGGGCCGCAAGGAGCTGCCTGGTTTGCCTTGTGACAAGAATCGCCTCTGTGTACACCAGCACTGTCAGTGCTCTTTCTGCTATCAAGTGTGAACAACAGATTATTGTCATGATTGTAAAGTAAATCTGTCAAAATGCTGCCGAGAAGAGTTCCATCAAAGGTTCCATTTCTACTTGTCACTTCTCTGCTGCACACAATTTTGAGGGAGTTTTCTTCCTATTTTGGTTGACTTATTTGACTAAATGACGGTGACAATAATGAAAACGGCCCTCATTATGTGTGCAGATCAAGACACAATGAACACTCCAACAACGTGTTACTTGTAGAATAGTCCGAACTCATTTTTTTTGCGGGCAAATCGTAACTATGGATTCCTTCGTAGGGCTGTTCTGACTTAACCCAAATGTATGATCACCAGCTCATATTGCTTGTACAAAGTACATATACACAACACATTCACGAATGAGTTTTGAAATCAGAGACGAGTCAGAATTGTTTGTTCAAATATTACATTTGTTTTGAAGGGGCGATTGAGAACAAAACATGCTTGCAATACAGTATGTCAACGTTTTTAATAGTGAAAACAATTTGCAATTGTGGTATCTCAGCAAGGAACTTGAAATTGATGCACATAATTTGCACATAAAATGTGATGTGGAACCGGGCATAGAATTTCACATCCTTTGGTCTCAGCACTGACCATGACCATTGTCAGCATTCTAAAGGAAAGCTTTTGGATGCGACTTTGTGATGGATTAGACTGTGCATGTGTAGACCACCTAACGGATGAAATTATTGTGTCTGGGATAACTTGTATTATCTCCCGACGAACATGCACGAACCTCTGTGCGTCCGCTTATCGAAGAAAACCCAACTGTCATCCATTCAAGTGAGAATTCAAATTTCTTCACAGGCAGAATTAAAAGCAGAAAGTACCATTTTGAACCGATGACATAATCTTACATCAACATGCAAAGCCCTCCTTTATTTAAAAAAATAAAAAAAAGAACCATATAAAAATCCGAATGCATGAAACATATGCTAATTGATGACGTGGTGCTTAAACCATCCCCTGATATAATGCGAGGGCGGGCAAAGTGTCGGAGCAGAAAAGAAAAACCACAGCTTGGTTGCGCGCGTTTGTTGCGCACGCATCAGGTGTGCACCTGGAGACTCACATCTGGATGACTGATTAACGCTCCAAAGAAATCTTGAATGTTTCCATGCAATTCGTATTGTGATGCAACTATTGGCGTACATCGCGGGATTTCTGAAAGCTCAATCGTCCGAATGTTCGTGCGGGAGCTCCCGTGACGCACTTGGACAGCTGACATCTATTCGAACAAAATACAAGGCACAGAGAAGCAGAGGCGCACAAAGAGCTCGGGTCGGTTCGTCTGGTAACCTTTCAAGTTCACAAGTAAACCATGAATCTTACAGAGTCGCAGTGGCTCATGGAAGAGCCGTGGAACCCGAACCGAACAGAGGAAGAGCAACTTTTATTCGGGATCGGCACGGATAATCTCATCACGCTGGTGATTTTTGCTCTCATCTTCGTGCTCGGTGTGCTGGGTAACTCCATGGTGATCACTGTCCTAGCCAGGAGCAAACCGGGAAAACCACGCAGCACCACCAACATCTTCATCCTCAACCTGAGCATCGCAGACCTGTCCTACCTGCTCTTTTGCGTCCCTTTCCAGTCTACCATCTACATGATGCAAACCTGGGTCCTGGGCGCCTTCATTTGTAAATTTATCCACTATTTCTTCACGGTTTCCATGCTGGTCAGCATCTTCACCCTCTCGGCAATGTCTGTGGACAGATACGTGGCCATCGTACACTCCAGAAAGTCCTCCAGGATCAGGGTGGCCAAACATGCCTTCATCGGCGTGGTGGTCATTTGGATTCTCTCCCTGTCCATGGCAGCGCCCATCATGTATTACCAGAACATCATTCATGGGGGAGAAAATCTAACATTTTGCTGGGAAGTGTGGCCGGACCAAAACCAGAAAAAAATCTATGTGGTTTGCACCTTTGTTTTTGGCTACGTTCTGCCACTGCTGCTCATATCTTTTTGCTATTCAAAGGTAAGTGAATTGATATTGGTCATTTGCTCGTTATGAGCGTTACCGAACACTGATCTGATATTACCTTTATGTCGTTCCTTGCAGGTTTTAAAACATTTACACAAAAAACTGAGGAATATGTCCAAAAAGTCTGAGACATCAAAGAAAAAGGTATGTTTGAAGAGGCATTTGTAGTATTTCACTGTTGAGCACAGAGTTGAACTATAGCCTACACTGTATTTAGAATAATAAGATCGCACAGTCAAGTATACCGCCATTAAACGATCTGATTGAATACTGGATGTCATTTTTAATTCTAATAATAATGTGATATTTCCTTATTGCTACACTTTGTCATTTTTATGGGGCGTACTTTAGACATCAGAACACAATTTCCGCACGCCGCACATGTACAGAAGGATCCTATGAAATTAACTGACGTGAGGTGTCTGTCCAGGGGCGCAGATGGGATTTTGGACCTGGGGGGGGGATTTGTCGGTGTAGCGATTTTAGTAAACACATACACACATACATCACAAGAATTAAAAAAGCAGGACTCTTCAAAAGTCTTTTTGGATGTGTTAAATAGATGAATAGAAAAAAAATCTTAAAAGGTGCCATATTGTATCTATTGTTCTTATATGGTAGCAGTGAGTTCGTGAGTTCAGCAGCAGGGGTACACATCATTGAGAACACGTGAGTGCGGTTTTAATAAAGTGTGTGTGTCTAGGTGGGGACATGGGGGCAACCGCGCCCGCGTGTCTGTCCGTACGTTGTGTGCTTGTGTCCTTTGGTCAGTTCAGCAGCACAACTTGATAACTACTTTGAGATAAACACTGAGGTGTGGGAAACAACCAGATTCGAAAGTAAACACATTGAACCACATGCAACACTTTTATTCAATAAATCTCGGCAAGTGGTGACATTTTCATCAAGTGACTTGTGGAGTAGTTGTAGAAAATCACAATGTCCTACCACTGGTGAGTTAATGTTGAACAGGCCCAGGCTAGGAATGTGGTCTTTTGGGGCGAGCTGTTGCCCCCGGTTTACATTTCTGGAATCCAGGCATCAACAACCTACCGATTGCCGGCGTGGTTGTAGAAGCAATAGCCATAAGAAATAATACATTTTTTATACACCAAGATTCCCCTTCAAGTTGTGAACTGTGAAGTATTTTTAAGACAAAAGGGTACATACTGTAATATATATCAGCAACAGTCGATAACATTTTCATCGGTCACAATTTCATGGTCAAAAGCTTAAAAAGCTCCTTTGAATATGATAAGTTACTTTTGCTGTTTTCATTACGTTTGCCTGCTCTCATGATTACACTGCACATATCTGTTTTAAATATGCGTTTGTTGACTTAGTAGTAACAGATGGATAGAGCAAAGCAGCTCCCACTGTCGTTGCAAAATGCTGTTTGCCGAGTGAATTCATGGATCTTAAAAAGATGCTTACAGTGGAATATCCAGTGCTCTTAAAAAAACGAATTGAACATAAAAGCAATCCTTCCTTAATCGTCCCTGTAATGTCACAATTCTTTTAATATGGGCTACTCTAGTTCGGGAACACATTCAGATAAACAGTTTGAAATATCCCTGAGTTTTAGTTGTCACGGTTTATTGGTACAGCCTGATTTTATTTGGCAAGTAATGTTTTTAATGGCTTCTTGGCACTCATGTGAGTTGTACAGATCATTGTCCACATTTTTAAGCATTCTGTCAACAGAACAGAGGCAGTGAATGCTTTCGAGACGGCAAAAAAAAAAAAAAAAAAAAAAAATCCCCACCACGAATCTCAATTTAGTGTCATACAACAACCGTTCTCGGGATCTCCTCAGGCGGACTCTCTATACCAGTGGTGTCAAACATACGGCCCATGGGCCGGAACCGGCCCCAAGGAGGTTCGATCAGGCCCACAGGATAATTTAAGAGTGAAAGAATACATAAAAGACACGGAATGAATATTTTTAATAAGCTGCAATTCATGGATCATCCGCTAGGGGATCCCTGTTTTGAGCAGAGAAGAAGACAACAGCAGTCTCAGTCTGTCACTGAGACAGACCCAACACATATTCTATATATTCTAACTGAATTGCTAGCGAAATAGCATTAGCATCAAAGCCATATTCTAACTTTGACTTTGTGAAACGATGCATGATGAACCGAGGCCACAATGTAACATTGTTGCTGAAATGTGTATTCTGCCCATATTTAGTCATGCAGTATAATTTCCCCATGCCCGAAGCGAAACTTTGCGTCCTTGAAGCAATCATCAGTTAATATTGGTACACTCCTTACTGGAGACCTTGTGGAGACAACAGCAGTCTCAGTCTGTCACTGAGACAGACCCAACACATATTCTATATATTCTAACTGTGACTTTGTGAAACGATGCATGATGAACCGAGGCCACAATGTAACATTGTTGCTGAAATGTGTATTCTGCCCATATTTAGTCATGCAGTATAATTTCCCCATGCCCGAAGCGAAACTTTGCGTCCTTGAAGCAATCGTCAGTTAATATTGGTACACTCCTTACTAGAGACCTTGTGGAGACACACAAACCATCGGAATGTGCCAGTTGATACAAGCTGAGAATCGGTTTAGGTCACAGTGGTGTTAAACATATGGCCCGCGGGCCGGAACCGGTGCCCAATGAGGTTCGATCGGGCCCGCAGGATAATTTAAAAGTGAAAGAATACATAAAAGACACGGAATGAATATTTTTAATAAGCTGCAATCCATGGATCATCCCCTTGGGGAACCCTGTTTTGAGCAAGAAGAAGACATCAGAAGTCTCAGTCTGTTACTGAGACAGACCCAACACAGCAGTAAAAGCCAGCTAATTGCTAGCGGAATAGCATGAGCATCAAAGCCATATTCCAATGGTGACTTTGTGAAACGATGCATGATGAAGGTGGGTGAACTTGTATGTCCCCAGAACCGACAAGCTTTTGCCAATATTAGCCTGACGAGGAATACAAGAGAGCATTTCGGACCTATCCGCAGATTTAGACAGCCAAATGAAACAGAGTCAAGTCATTTTGTCAAATGTTTTGTCAAAGGTATGTTGATTAAATTTCAACATTTTCCGAATGTTCTTGTGCTTCTTTCTACCAAAACAAAGGAAAGACATGATATTTTGGTTATTTATAGCAGAGTATGGTCTAATTTTAACAGTCCGGCCCACTTGACATCGACCGAGGCCATATGTGGCCCACAATGTGAAATGAGTTTGACACCCCTGCTCTATACATTCAGAACGGCATCAATAAAATGTGCCAGCGTTCACTGTTCATTACCTACGCCTGCCCATATTAGGACCCCACCACTACCATGGCCCACTGAGTCCAGAGCGTTGACATCGGCAAACCGCTCACCCAAATGATGCCATACGTGCTGTCTGCCATCTATTCTGCACGGTGAAAAAGAAGGATTCACGACAAATAGAACAGCTCTCGAGCGCTCTACGCCATCGAGCGTGACCATTTCCCCATTCAAAGTTGGTTACGACGACAAACTGCTGTCAGGTCGAGCCCCAGTGAAGACGACGAACATGTAGATAAGCTTCCGGGAGATAGTTTGTGCAGGAATTCTTTGGTTATGCAAACTGTAGTTGCAGCAGCTGTCCGGGTGGTGGGCCGAGGTGGATAGAGAGAAAGTGGGCTAGTGTGGTGATACATGGTCTGCGTTTGTCAGGCCGGTTGAGAGCACTGCCCGATTCTCTGAAATGTCTTTGGATATACAGAAGTTTATGGTGGAAAAATGAACATTCGTTGATTTGCTCGACATTGCTGGTGTCAGCTCTCCCATTGCATGGTCCCCCAAAATTTATATTTGTGGCACTGTATTGCATGATGAAATTGCACGTTTTAGAGTGGCCTTTTATTGTGGGCAGCCCAATCAGCACCATCTAATCAACATTTTCACATAGCATGTGCATGGATTATTTTGGCAAAGGAAAAGCATTCACTAACACAGATTGAGACAATTTTCTCAACGATACTTGAGAGAAAGGGCTTTTGTCTACATTTACGAAGAAAAAGCATGAACGCCTTTCAAGGACAGCGGTTACAACAGTGGACAGCTCATCATGTTATCAGGTTACAGAATGCATAGAAGGGTTCAATATTTGAGTTCGATTCATGAAAATGGCAGCAAAAATAAAAGTGCGGCATTTATAGTTTTGTTCGGTGATAGCCATTAAGAGGATGACAAAATATGTTGTTCTCCAACTGTGAGACGGAGGATTGAGAGGAAGCATATTTTCAGTGGAAAGTCAGTATCATTATTTGAATAACTTAAAATATTTCGCATATCATCAAATCTAGTGACAATGAAAGGTGAGAATAGATGAGACATGAAACAAAGTGATATCTGCCTGTGTGTGTGTTTTTTTTTTAACATCTGTTAGGGATGGTGAAGTTGTGAACATTTTATGGAGGCTTCCTAAAAAAAGCATTGTCACTTCTCAAAACTGTGGGAACCTCTCCACCACTTCTTGTTTGTATGTCGAGACTGGAGAAGAACCTTCTGACAATATTGACTTAATATTGACTCTGGAAAGATGTTTTTGGACACACCTCTTACTGTATCTATGTGCTCAATCTGGGGTAGGGTAATAAATGTTAGCAAATTCTGCACTAAGTTTCCGATGAGGTTTAGACAGTCTGGGGAGGTCATTTCCGCACGACTGGTTGGTCCCGATGCACAAAAGTTCATCAGGCATGCTGAGATGGAACTTAGCAAGGAATTTAAAGGCCCGATACCTTAACACACTGCCATGAACGTGAACAGCAATTGTGAGCCCGCGTTCTCTTCTGCTGTGGGGTAGCAGTGACCTCTGACCACATGCGTGCTCTTGGAACGTTTTCTTCCCTCTTCATTTTGCTTGGTGTGCCAATGCTTTTGTCCACTTTGCGTGTATTGTTTTGGACCAAAGACATCATGTAAATTATTGTTTCATTTGAATTCTCTTTCAAATGGGATTGGGAGTCATTTCTAGCCTCTCTCAAAAACAACCGTGAGGAAAAGTGCCACATTTTTTTTCAGGCTCTTTAATCGTGTTCCATTTGCCACAATGGAGACTAATTCGTTCTGGAATAAGGCTCGTTGGCTGAGATGAGAACGCATGGAATTATTATTATTATTGTGCTGTTGTTGTTGTTGTTTTTGTTTTTTTTAGTCGCTGACACATTCCAGCTGCTTGACTAACAGTCTTACATACAGTCATTGTGTACATCTCTTTGCTGTTCAGTCATCATTCGACACTTGGCTTTGAAATCGCACAACCACAAATGTATGATGTCCGGTTATTCTTGTTGACATTGATGGTTAATTCTGCCCACTTTCAATGTTTACATTTTTGAGTGATTGGAATCCTTAACTTTCGTCAAACCTTGTTCTGAATAAGGTAATTGGGTGCCAACTGCGAGGCCACGCATGTAACCTTTCTCCTCTTCTCTTGTACACCTTTGACATTCACTTTGAATTTTACCACGCTTGAGATGACCTTTACGAACTTTGAATAACATTTTCTGCTGGGGGGGCCGTCCCAATTACGGAAGAATGTTTCTCTTTCATAAGTCCTCCGTATTGAAGAGCCTCAGTCAAAAACGAATTCATTGAAACAGATTAATTTTGCAAGTGATCCTTTGGTGCCGCTTTCTTGCAATGAAATACACGAAACACAATTTTGATGACGCCAAAGACAAAAGACAACGGTAAATGACAAGCTCAATTCATCAAGCAGATTTACTTCGTTTCACTGCTACCTTTGATCCACTAACACCATTCTGTGTTCTCTCCTCCTCATGTGGTGGCTTCCCAGACAGCTCAGACGGTGCTGGTTGTGGTGGTGGTCTTCTGTCTGTCGTGGCTCCCTCATCACGTGGTTCACCTCTGGGTAGAATTCGGGACCTTCCCACTGAACCAGGCTTCCTTTTTGCTGCGGATTGCCGCCCACTGCCTTGCGTACAGCAACTCATCTGTCAACCCAGTCATCTATGCTTTCCTGTCAGAAAACTTCAGGAAGGCTTATAAGCAGGTGTTCAAATGCCAAATTGGCACCGAGGACGTGCTGTTTAATGAGATTAAGGAGATCCGCAGCAAGGCAGACGCACCGCCTTCAACTAACTGCACCAACGTTTGATTTAGAAAGTGTGCACAGAAGCGTACATATAATTCATGGCAACTGTTTGACTAAAACTGAGTTTAAGCGCAACAGTGACAGGCCAAGTTTCAGATATTCCGTGGATGAAGCCACGGCTGTTCCACTTAAGCGCTGTAAAGTTTAAATGATTTGCACATTGTTTTCGATATGATACATAATCATGTCAAATGTTATCCGCTCTTGACTAATCTTTCTCTTTTGGGTGAATCTGAAATTGAGGCATGCACGCTCACAAATCCAAATAATGTTATGCTAGTTTGGCAAGCATTTTGAATGTTCTTCCTTGATGAAGAACTGCGCTGGGTAGTGACGCGATGGAACAATGAAGGCTCCTAAATTTAGGTCAGAGCCAGATTATGGTTCAGAAGTACTTGGAAAAGAGACTTTTCTTCATGGAGAATCATTGACAGGCCTTTACTTGCATGCACCATCACTTGCTACTCGTTTTTGGTCTTGCTTCTCACCTTTACTAAGTGAAAATCCCGCTCTATTAGATTTAGATCAGGTAAGTGAATTTTCCAGGGAAGACTATCCAGGTTGTTTTTGTTTTTTAGGTTCAAACATTTTTGTCGAGCATTAAAAAAAAAAAAAAAAAAAAACTCATGAAGGCAAGTGGCCTTGTAGTTAGGACATCTGATTCACAATTCGAAGGTTCAGTGTTTGAATCTTGGCTACCTGGCTTAGTTACTTCTACCTGATGAATGCAAAGGGCCATCAGTTTGATACACCCTTCTGAAATAACAGATTTACTCAAATTACCTTTCACTATGAATTAGTTAAAATCTAGACACTGATCACGTTCATAATTCCTCGGAATAATTATCAACAACGATTGAACCAAGTAGCAATGGATAAATGTCAATATGCAACACTTGGTTTCCATAAATCACTGCAACTGTTTTCATTTTCAAATGATCATTTCAACACCATTCCTAGGAAATCACAATGACCCATCACTGGTGATCTGTATTTAGAACAGGCCCGTGGGCGGATCATCAGGTCCATAGGGGCGACCAAATACCCCCAGGCACCATATCGGTGACCTCTGCACTAAATTGTCCATTCACTTTATTCCCGAGGGCACTCATGGAGAAATAATTATGTTCGTGACTTCCTGTAAGACACCACATAGGGGATTTTAAGTCACAGCGGGTTTTGTTTCGCAGAGCAGTTTATGAAAAAAAAAAAAAAATCCCAACTCCTTTTCATAAACCCCCATTGCATTGAAAAATACGTGAGGTTGTTGTGCTCTTGATGGTTCTAGTAACAAGCAGAAGAAGTTGAAAAAAATCGTCTGAGAATCTTCATTTGAAAAGATCATCGCTGCAACGTAGTACCTGGTGTCTTTTTCATTTTGTGGACAAAGAGCACAGGGCCACCAGACCCACATTGAACTTTGTACTCATGTGCTTGCATTGCCGTGAAGATTCGCTGGGAGCCAAGTTTCACAAGAACATCGGGTATTGTTTTTATGTGTGTGGGAGATACCACACCTGAGTATTAGTCGTCCTCTGAAAATATAGCAATATTTTGGATTTTATGGACAGTAAGTGTTTTTTTTGTCAGCAAGCTGCCGTGAGCGCATGTGGCGAAGAAGACGTTCTGCTCCTGAAATTCAAAATATTGGGGCTGATCGCTCTAATACTTGCAACGGTTGAAGTTGAGATTAAAGTTCAGCCGTTCACATCACTTTGAAGACCGGTCGCAGTTTTATGATATCGAGGGATGTGAAGCTTGCTTACATTAACCCTTTCATGCACCCTGTAACCTGATATATAACATGATAAGCTGTCCAAGGTAGTAACCGCTGTGCCCCAAAGGGTTAATTGTCCTGATCATGTGGTTCACATACAGAGGGAAGTAGTAGACTTGATTGGGTCCTATGTCTTCTTTAAGCTAAATAAGAGTGTGGCCAACCTCTTTTAACAAAACACAACCAAGTACTGTGTAGGCACTGAGCTTTTGAGATTGCTCATTGCCTCACGTCTTAAGTGACAGAGTTCAGAAAGTAGCGATGTTGCTGGCCTCTTTTGTGTGTGTGTGTGTGTGTGTGTGTGTGTGTGTGTGTGTGTGTGACTGTGTGTGTGTGTGTGTGTGTGTGTCATCCTCCTACCCCACAACATGATTCGGAAGCGGGATTGAACTGTTTTCCTTTCCAAGCTGCAACAAATCCTCATTGTGGACAAACTATATAGAAATAAATGGATGGATCAAACTGTCATTGTCCAAATAATTCTATTATACATTGATCGACTAGGGCGGCCCGGTGGTCTAGTAGTTAGCACGTCGACCTCACAGTACAGAGGTACCGGGTTCAAGTCCAGCTCCGGCCTCCCCGTGTGGAGTTTGCATGTTCTCCCCGGGCCTGCATGGGTTTTCTACGGGTACTCTGGTTTCCTCCCACATTCCAAAAACATGCATGGCAGGCTGATAGAACACTCGAAATTGTCCCTAGGTGTGAGTGTGAGCGTGGTTGGTTGTTCGTCTGTGTGTGCCCTGCGATTGGCTGGCAACCGGTTCAGGGTGTCTCCCGCCTAATGCCCGAGGACGGCTGGGGTAGGCTCCAGCTCCCCCATGATCCTTGTGAGGGTAAGCAGATCGGAAAATGGATGGATGGATTGATCGACTAAATTGACTAACCAGTGATGAAGATTTCCCTTACTACAATGACTAGTGGCAATGTTGGTTCAGATGTCAGAATCGTGAGGGGTCTACTGTTAAATTTAGCAGTAGCATAAAATTTTCACAAGTAACGCTTTGCTACTAGCGTCCATATTACACTATTCTGTAAGATTTGAGATTTGTCTCATTTCCTTCATACACTCGATATCGTATTTGAATCGTTTTTATTTTATGAACGCCAAATGTTTGAATGTTAATTTTATTAAAAACAAACACAAAAAAAAGAAACGTGGAGTGTTGAGTGTGCTGCAACAGAACAATGTTTCTAACTTGCTGCTGCAGCAAGCACACTCCAACAGCATGAGCACTGGAATGTGATATACTTTATTGCTTTGTTTGCTATTTCCTGCTTAAGTCTTGTGAGCTCTTACAGCAGGGTTTGAGGTTGGAGTCTGTAGCTGTTATTGATGGAGATATGACATGTATCTAATCGTCTAATTTACCCCCAAAAGTGTGTCTAGAAAATTCATTTTCATTTTTTTCCCCATTCTTTTTGCACCATTGTTCATGTAGAAAATACCTCTCCATGAAATAGGGTCTACTGTAAATATTAGACTGATAATAACACTGGTCAACACATTTGTACATTTTTAAAAAATCAACGATGATTTGTTTTTGTGCAGCCTCTGCCCTTGTTGTTTTGTTTTTTTTCCTCGAGCACATCTGGTTTTCATTATAATAACAATATTGTCATTGTCCTGTGACCGAAACACAGACACCCCATTAACGTAAAAAAAACCCCCAAAACATATATACACGTGTTTTTCACAGGATGGTGACGATATGTAATGTAGTAATATATTTACTAATATTTATGAAATAGCAACAGGTCAACTTTTTTTTTTTTTCTGAAATGTCATTGCTACAAATTGGAATGCACGATAAAATGTGTAAGCTTTTATAAGCCAAAATTTAAAATTACAAAAATGAAAATATCCTAAAAACTTGATGCGCTCGAGTAAAGTGAAGACATTTTCCAAATCAGTGCCCAAAAAATCCATACGTTTAGGGCGAGATGAAGCCATCACTGGTTAAAATTTGCTGTTGACCATTGGAATGTTTATGTAATCTGTCTAAAAGTCGTTTCCACCGAGCAAAGCTCTTGGACTTGTCAAGGTGCGGATAATTGCCAAGAAGCTTTCCTTTTTGTTATTTTTCCTCATGAATCATGATTGTAAAATGGCTTGTATGTGTTATTGCATAATATATTCTGATGTAGAAAGACATGAAAAGTTAAGGTACGCGTGTCACTTTTAATGTGAGAGTCGTGTCCCTGTTCTGCAAACATTATCAAATATAAATAGAGAGAAAAAAAAATACGACGGCCTTTGCTGAGAAAGCCGTGCACACACAAAAGCATGCTGCTGATTTTTGGATGCAAAATAAAGGCGCGCCGCTCGAATTTGACGTTTCACACACACACACACACACACACACACACACACACACACACACACACACACACACACACACACACACACACACACACGTTCTTGTCATTTGCCGTTGTCTGTGTTGTAAGTGAAAAGCTCACTTCCCTGCTGTGGTCCAAATCTGATGTTGTGATTAACTGTGTCTTTATTCAGTGTATGTATTAAAATCTGTGGCATTTCCACCAATACGTATTTTGTTACTACAATTTCAATCTGTGGTTTTCATGTTGAAAATTCCCTTGTGTTTACTTTGAATTGAAATTTTGTTTGCTCATTCCATTTTACTTCATTTCCATAAAAGGAGCTTTCTCTTGGTTCCCAGTGAAAGCACCAACTGATGATTTAGACTTCCTTTGCTCCCACAATGAGCTGAAGAAAAATAACAGATAAGGTTCCCATCACTGGGGTTCCACCACCAGTTTGTTTTGTTGATCACGCAGCAGTGGAGGGATTTTGCGGACGTCGTAATCTGAAGGGCTTGACCTGATCCCAAGAAATATTACGCAAGGGCAAAGGCTGATTGGATAGAACAGGACGAATATTTTGGAGAGGAAAAGTGTTCTTTTATAGACTGTCTTTAAAAAAATTTAAAAAAGGATCAGAGTGGGCTCTGTGACAATGGCAATTCGCAGATGGTTGATTTTTATTAGACAGCAACTGTATACGAAGAAAGTTTTTTAAAACAAAAAGACAGCATTTAAACTCCAAAACCTCCAGAGGTATTGGAAAAGTAGACTGAAAACATTTGGGTGTGACATCACTTGATGAACTCGAGACAAGAGATCTACATTTTTTTTCTTTTTTTTGGGGGGTCTTTTCATCTGAAATGGATTCACAGCTTTCACGGAACATCGCGGTTTTAGGGGAGCAAAAATACTGACACGTTTCCTTGAAATAGAGGCAAGTGAAGATGATACAAATGAAGTGACATTCACTTTAATTCAATAGTAAAAGAGTGGCAAATGTTTTGTATGCAATTGCTGCAACTAGCCTGTGACCCACTGACACCAACAGAAATTCACAATGTTTTTTTTTTTATTTATTCTTTTTAACTCCCTTTAGTCTCCTAACCTTAGCAAGTAAAATTAATTCATTAAGGAATTAATTAATTTCAGTCTGAAAGATGATGAAATTTATGTTGGAGCTTTGCTGACTTTGCTTTTGTTAAAGTATTAAATGTGTGAAGCTGTGGCTTATTTTCCTGTACAATTTTATAATTACTGTTTTTTTATTTTTGACAGAAGATAAGCAATCAATCTCTATGTGATTTAAATCTGGAGAATGACTCGAGAGTCAAATTTGCCTCCATTGTAATTTTTGCAATGCATTTTGAGTCATTGTCTTATTGAATGATTTCTCACCTTCCAAATCCCTTTGTTTGGTTTTACTTTTAAGTGGCCCAAAAAATGTTTTTCTGGAGATTTCTGAGTTCATTTGGCTGCCACCATCATGTGATATATTGTCAATGAAGCCACCACTTTGTTTTAACACAATGCGCTGCATACATGTTTTGAATCACAAGAAAACTTTCGTCATTTTGGAAGAGGTTAATCTTTATCAGGTCAGCATTTGTGTGGCTTGTCTCAAATTTCAGCCTGGGCCTTCCTATTCTCCCTCTATGTTTTGCATCTTTACCTTTGTTTGCTTTCAGACGCTACGCAGCGGGGTTGTATCCGGATAATTTTTTACAACATTTTAAATGTTCCCGTTCTCGAGAGCTTTTATTTTTGTTCGTCTCCCCATTCAACATGTTACTTCACACACATGGTTGGTTTATTTCTTCTTCAAATCATTCAAAACGTTTGACGTGAAGATTGGCAATACGGCTGTTCTTCAACCAAAAGACAGCTCTCTGGTTTTCATGTTGGTTACAGCTGTAACTAATACAGTGCCCACA